GGAATGTCTAAGTATTATTATTTATCTAATTGTAATTAATTGCCTAAATGTGTATTTATTATTATTATTATTATTATTATTATAACAATATGTGTATAAATAAATATTACCCGATTTTATTTAATTTATCGTGCGATCAAATCGAGCTCGAGAGCTTGCCTGAGCGAACCGGCCCAGCCGAACCGGCACCCAACTCAACCCACCCAACCCGGTTTTTTCCCTAGGGCTTGTGTGTGTGTGTTTCTTGACTAGGAAGTAAGGGAACCCTAGCATATTGATTAAAAACGCATCTCTCATAATTCATCCCTCATTCACGATCAACGTGCAGACACTCCCTTCTCATTCCTATCTCTCACTCGATCTCTCCCTCATGCAAAAAATATCATCGTCCTCATCTCATCTCTCTCACAAGAAAAACCCCGCCAACCCTCACCCTCCTCTCACCTTCGATCGTCGCCCCTGTTCCCGTCCTCCTCGCCGTGAACCTGCTCCGCCAGCGAAGCTCCTCCGTTGCTACCAGTCCACCTCCGGTGACCAACACAGCAGCAACGCCGCGACCATCAGTGCCCGCTGCTCCTCCTCGATCACCCCTCTGCCACTGCCTCACCGCCGCGAGCCGAGCGTGTCCCCGCCGAGCATCCGCCGCGAGTCGTCTTCGTTGTCTCGTCAACCCCATTCAAACCCTTCTCACACGTTTCCCGAGAACAGTATCACGCCTCGATCCCTCTTTCGATCATATATGCGTTATGTAATCATGTTAAAGCCTTGTTATATATTTTATGCTATTGGTTTATATATAATGTCGTGTTTATGTGTGATCTTTGTCGATTCGTATGAATCGAACGAGATCACATTGCAAACGTGTTAAGTGTTGTGGATTGGAACAGTTGGAAGCCCTTGGCCTTATGGTTAAGGCCTCGGACGAAATAAATGAGTTATGTGTCGGTTATGAGTTTTCGATTGCAGATAGTCGCTGTTTATTTGATAAATTCGTGATAAATCATGTGCTGCTCTAATTAATGTGAAATTTTGTGTGTGAGGTCCTCTGTTGATTTTACATGTCGTGTAAAAATTTCAGGATTTAATTCTAATTGTAGCTATTTTTAATAATTTTTTTAATTTCTGGGTAGAATATTGTAAATTGCATATTAAATCGGTTGGTGCTCCAAATTGGCTGGATTTTTAATATGTTGTCTCTCTAGCGTTTTTACATGTTTTGTAAAGATTTTATGATTTTTGAACTTCGTTTGCTAGGGTTAAAAATTGTTTGAAGTATTCTGCAGAACCTTGGTTTAATTATGATATATCTACCGGTTGTTGTAAATTTCTGAATTTTGGTGTCTGGACTCATTTTGTGATGTGTTTGGTGATGTAAAAAGTTCAGATGTATTGTTCATTTTGGTTCAGTTATATTGAAAATCAAATTCAACAGAATCTTGTTTTAATTTTTATAATTCGTGTGTTTCATGTTAATAGCTGAAATTCTTATAAGTTATTCACATGCTGTAGCTGCATATGTAATTACAAGTCTTAACTCGTTCATTAGCTTAGGCTTTGGATTTGTGCTCGTTTTTGCTGAAAACTTGTTTGAATTTTATGAAATCGTGTGTTTTGTGTTAAGGGTTGAAACTTGGTGATTTTACTAAGGCAGTGAGGTGAATTTTGTGTAAAAATTTCAGAGCCTAACTCGTTGGTTTGCTGGACCATCTTAAATGTGTGAATTTCTCGGCAACTATTTCAGTGTGTAGTCTATTGTGTTAAAATATGAGAGCCGGCTCGCACGTTATTCTTGTGACTTGTTTTGATTACCCTTTATGTGAAATTGTGTGAACTTCCATTTTGGTTTGGTCGAATCTAAGTCCAAGAGTTCCAATGTCCACATGACTCCACGAACAACTTAGTCGAATCAAGTTCGGCTAAGTCTGATTGTGATTTCCTTTTTAAGTCAAGATAAGGTGTTGATTTTAGTATCTTGACTTATGTAGGTTTTTTGAGGTGTTGACCTCACTCCTCATTCGAGATTCGTGATTGTGAATTGTCGCTTCAATTAGGTGGGTACATTTACGTTGTATCTACATTTATCGCACTTATTATTTCGTATAAATGTTTCTTTCGAAAATTATTATATGCGTGAGAACTCTAGTCTAAGTGTCCCGTTTGTTAGTGCCTTTGAGGAATGCATAAACAGTGAGAGTTCGTCAGCCCGTAGTTGATTCGGGAGGTGGACGCCCCGGTCCGTATGATACTTGTGAAGGGGAAAAACAGCTCTACTGTCCCTGGAAAGGATCCCAGGCCTGTTGTATTCGGAGATGGGAAGGTTTCCAGTTACTTCCTTGCCGTGTTGTGATCGAAAAGTTGTTGTATGTACATAGGAGGTTTGCGATAGGGCCATGTAAGGAGTTAGACCTTGGATTCTATGCATACTGTGTTTATGCTTTAAAATTTTTATATGGGATAAACTGTGCGGTAATGGTGAGCATGATGATCTTGCTCACCCCCATTATTTTTCTGTTGTTTCCTCTTCCTTTTTCTTTAGGTTGAGCTGAGCTGGTGGCGGTGGCGTAAAGATGAATGGGTGGTGGTTATTGATTGGATATGTTCTCGTTATATTGTGCTTCCGCTTATCTATGATATTTTCAAACTGTTGCTTTGACTTGGATTTCTTTCCTGCTTTGTTTTTTGGATAAATTGACTATGTCGGATTAAACCTTGGAATTATGTTTTGATTTTATTGTTTTGGAACTTAATAAATGCTAGTTAAATTTTATAACTGTTAGTCATGCACGTATAGGTTTAATCTGACGTGTTTGTATTTCTGTTAAATTGTTCTTGGTAGATACGTATCGACCATTGAGATTTCAAATTTAAATTGAGATTTGCAAAAAATTAACTCTGATTTTTATAAATAAATTCGGTAAATCCTTTAAAATAAAATGGGACGTTACAGTTTGAGTTTCTTGAAGGAATTTCAGAGGAATAATTACTCCATATGCATAGGACACGTGGCGAGAATATATTGGCATGTGGTGGTAAACACCTCTGACACACGCACACTATATGCGTACGGACGGGCAGCTTTGTGCAGATAGCTCATCAAATCTGGGCAGCCCCTAGGTCCGATATCTCGCCCTTATGTATATAGGGGTGAGCCTTTCTTGTTGAGCACGATTTATCCATTGCTTACTCTTGAGAATTGAGGAGAACAAACACTGACTTAAGCATCGGAGGATCTTCACTGGAAAACTCCTCCGGTTTGAGAGTTCTTTGCAGGTACGCGGCGTTTTACTGGCGAGGAGGAAGGAGAAAGATCGATTCCAGCCAGTCGGAGTGTTTTGCATTACCACTGTCTAAACAAGGTTGTATTGAAAAGACCCAGGCAACAAAGGCGTTGAGAACTGATCTATTCTTTATTAGAAAATTGTTGGGTGAAAGAGACAATGAAGTCAAGCATCTTAAGAAGGAAGTCTATTGGATAATGTATGAACATGCTCATCTGAGAGTAGAACTAAATCATTCAGAAATGAACATGAGAACAAAGTCAGCAGAGCTTGATAGAACATCTGAGGCTCTAAGGAAACTGAAAAAAGGTAGTGCAGACCTGAATGAACTTCTCGCCATGGGAAAACATTACAGTGATCTTACTGGATTGGGATACACGGGGAAAGCTGAAAGCATGAAAAGTTCATCTAATGTGTCACCCAGAAATGAGCATCCTGGACTAGGGTTTTTCAACAAGTCAGGTATTGGAGGTACAAGTGCTCGAGGTAAACCTTCTCGTGATCTATACTCCAGGTTAGTCGAAAGCAATGTAAGTAAAAACTCCTTCCTCTGAAAGCAACATGAAGGTTCATGAGCATGTGAGTAAATCTGAAAGTGAGTCATTACATAACTTTGTTCCCATAATTTAAATACAACAAATATGCACTATAAATGAAATAAATATGCAGTTCGCATGAACTAATTAAATATGCAATAATTTTACATATTCTCGTTTTGGGTGAAAATTAAGGTTTCAACTGATTACTTATTCTCGTTTTGAATTTGTTAAATAAAGTGGGCATTATGATTTTTAAAAAAAAATGATATGTTATGGAAGAATTTATATTGGTCATTTAGTTTGTTGAATAAGATTTTATTTTGTGTATTTTATTATATTATACATTAATTAATTATATATATATATTTTAGTTGTGGCACATACACATTTTCATTGGAAGAGATAGCTGAAAATTTGTTTATTTGTTAAATAATTATTTTTGTATTTTGTTTGTAACATAATATTACTGTATAAATCCTTTACACATTTTCACAGCATAAAAGAAAAAATTTGAAAGTAAAAAACCAAATTTTTATTAAATTAATTCGGTCGAATTGCTTATATATGATTTCTAATCGAGAATTAAAAATAAAATATAGTTAAGCGTGTGAGAATATTAGAAATGTCATTAAATAATAAATTTGAATAATATTTATTATATTGTTTAATGATAGAATTTGTAACCGAAATTGGAGAAAAAAATATTAATGATAGAATTTGTAACCGAAATTGGAGAAAGACTAAGTATATTTATTAATTACTTTGCTAGCAATAATATAAGTATAGATTAAACTAATACAATAATGACACACAACTTAACAGTCATGACTCACGATGAAAATGTAAACTTAGGGAGATTCTACGGTCCCGTTACAGAATCATTTCATCGGGATTTGTAACCGTTAGATCAACTATTTACGACAGTTATATGATGATCTAATGGTTACAAATTCCGATGGAATGATTCTATAACAGGATTGTAGCATTTTCTGTAAACTTATAGATCCAAAAACTCGGTTTAAAAGAAATATAAAAAGAAATGAAAAAAAGGGCGGAGGGAAAAGAAAGCGAATTCCCAAGTGAAAATTTCGAACTAATAAAAACTGCATATGCGCAGTCCACACTAACCCTCTTCTCATTCCTTCCTTCCAATCTCTTGACAAGAAAACAATATTCCCTAAAAATGTCTGACTATCTTCCTCAGGAAGTATGGGCCAACGTTTTCCTCTGGCTACCCGTCAAGACGCTCATCGGAATCAGGTCGGTCTGTAAGTATTTCGACCACATCATCCGCAACCCCTCTTTCATTTCCGACCACCTCGCAATCTCCAAACAAAATCAAATCCCTCTCGTTCGATTCCTTAGGGGAAGAGAAAAATCCAAGCGAAAAGAGCACTACGCTCTCATACCCAATAACCTCGAATACCTCGAAGACATTCGAGAAATCGATTTCCCATTTAGGTCTGAATGCTACAAACATTTCAATGTAATCGGAGCCTGCAACGGGTTGATCTGTTTGTCCGATGAGAGTTACTGTCGCTCTCGTGGTATTATACTGTGGAACCCGTCAATCAAAAGGTACTTAGCCCTCCCCAAACCTCAATTCTCTCTCAAATCCCTCGAGGGGTTTTATTTCTCGTATGTGGTCGGTTTCGGGTATGACTGCGGGTCAGACGACTACAAGGTGTTGAGGATTACATATGTGGATGTAATCAGAATCGGGAAAAAGCGGCGTGTCGACCCGCCTAAACCTGGTCCCGTGGTTGAGATATACACGGTCAAGTCGGGGTCTTGGAGGAATTTAAATATAGATGAGCTAACTTGTCCTTATCATTTTTGTGGTACCAATCAGGCTTTCGTGCAGGGATGCTTGCATTGGCTGAACGGGTCATCTTCGATTAGTTGTTTTGATTTGAGAAATGAGGTGTTTAATGGCGGGATAGGCTTACCCGAGGGTGTATACGGGTGGAATTCTCACTTGGCGGTGCTCGGGGAAAAGCTTGCCATTGTAGAGGATCATCACAACGCGGTTAAGGGGATTGCTAATGTGTGGGCCATGGAGGAGTATGGGGAGGTGGGGTCGTGGAGGAAGCTGTACAATGTTGATACAATGCCCGGATTTTTCTTGTTCGTGGGGTTCACGGACAATGGGAACATAATGGGCACCTTCGACCGTAACAAGCTTTATTGTTATGATCCGGACAAGGATTTCTTGAACAATCTGTGCACTCGTGGGGCTGTGGACTCGTTCCACGTGGAGATGTATGTGGAGAGTTTGGTTCTATTTGATGGGGAGAGTGCCGTTCCCAGGTCGGAGGCTATTACCTTGGAAGGTGAAGATTGGTGAGAATTTCGGGTCGAGTGTTGTAGTGTGTTTAGTCCGGTATTCTTCGTAGGTCTTGATTGTTGTTAGTTTTTCGGATCATCCCGTGTGAATCTTTTATGCGATCTCTGTTTTTGGCTTTTGGACCAGAAAAAATGTTTTGCGGTTTGTTAATTTTCTGCTGACTTGGGGAATGTAAGTTGGGATCGTCTATGGTCAGGTATCCCCTTATATCACTATTAGATTGACTCATAAATCAATATCAACTATTAGATTCAAGGTAACGCATTGGTATGAGGCAAAAAGAATTTTGGTCGCCTATGCAATTAGAATTGCAAACGAGTCGAGCCAAACTTTGGTTTGATTGAGTCATGCTAAANCAAGCTCAAGCTGAGCGTTGAATCTAGCGTTAGCGAGTTGCTCGACTCGTCTGTTATTATTATTATTATTATTATTATTATTATTATTATTATTATTATTATTATTATTATTACTATTTCAATTAATGACTGAATTAGATAAAGTCTTAACCCACCAACTAAACCATGGGATAAATACACAACAAAACCTCCAACCAAAAAAGGCCAACAAAAACACAACTGGCCAAACTGTACAAAAACACCTATACATAGCAACTCTACCGCAGCTGAAAGATTGGTCAACATGTCCTCTTGCTTCCAACTCAAGGGACCAGAGGCATAAAAAGCTCCCAGCGTGATACAGTAAGCCTGCAATTCCAACTCACGTACACTAAGAAACGAAACCAATCCAAAAACTCCATGGTCACATATAGTTAAAAAAAAATAAAAGTAGAGAAAACAAGCACATACCTTTCCTATTAGAACCAACCGCCACTGATCATCATGCCACGTTCGTTTTTCCTGATTTTCAAGCTATCAATGACTAAATCCTGCGAGCACTCAAATATCCTCACTAGATATAATAAACAATCAAGCCCTCCTGGAAACAAGAAACAATCGAATAGAAACAGACAAATTCAATCTTGTATTGGTTTCATACTGACCTAGACTTGAAACAATTCTTCTATAATACATTCCTAGAATTTTACATATTCACCAGTTGAAACATATCAGCAGCTACAAAATCACCACAATTCCATCACTCTAAAGTCGAGAAGAAGCTTATTCACCACAATTACATATTCACCACTTTGAGTTTTGGTTAGGCCAAATTGCATCAAAAACCTTGACCTTTGCCTAAATTGCAAATAAATCTGAACTTTTTTAAGTTTGCCATAAAATACCTCACCTTTTAGTTTTGTTGCATTGTAAGCTCCGATGAGATTTCTGAGCTCGTCCTTGCTGATGTGTCCGACGAGGTGATGAGATGTACAAGTAAAAAAACTGACTTGGCTTTTATGCCTTATAACATCAAAAACCCATTTCCACATCACAATTTCTTCATTTCTTCCATTCCCAATTTTTCCCCTCTCTCTGCAACCCTAATCGTGATTCTTTCATCCCCAAAATTGAGGCGCTGCAAAATTGAGAGCCAATATCAACGAGACAGAGGTGGAGCTCCAAAGAATTTGTTGTGTCATCAATGGAGAACAGGTATTCCCCCTGAGCCAAAAGATAGGGTTTCGTGATTTGGGCATTCTTTGTAGAGATTTGGAAAATTAATTAATTCTTTGAAATTAGGTTTTTCATATTCTAAATTAGCTTATAACTGGAATGTATCATTTTTTAATAATTGTATGTATGTTTAAATGTATCCATATTTGAAACTTGCAGGGATGAGTTCTCCATTTATATAAACCATGGTGGAAAATTCAATAGGACCAGTTTAGGGATGGAATATGATGGATTTGGTTTTAAGATTTTACATGACTTAGATGTCGATAGGTTTGGTTATCTAGACTTAGAGGATGAAGTGCAAAACCTTGGATACACAAGTTGGGGTCCGTTTTATTACAAAGTTCCAGGGGTTGAAAGGCCTGATTCTATGAGACTTGTCCATAATGATGATGGAGTAATGGAGATGATTGGATATGTTCAAGAGAAGGTAATTGATGTTTATGTGGATAACTGCTTGGAAGAAGAAAATGAGGGTGATCATAATTACTCTGAAATTCAGACTCATGAAGATGAGCATATTATGATGATACCAATGGGGAAGGACAATACTGAGGGGAAAGGCTTTTCTGATAGTGGTGAAGATGAAGATTATGTGCCTGTAGATGAGAGTTCATCTGATGATGGATTGTCAGATCATGAACTTGCTTCAGATGATGAAGAGAGAATTGTTGCCAGGAGGAATTTTAAGGAATATAAGAGGGCTGCTCCATCTGAGGAGGATGTTAGTTATGTACAAGTGGAATTTCCTGATGATCTACCAAAACCACAATCTGAGGGTTCAGATTATGACCATGTTGTAGTATCAAACTCTTCCAGTGGTGATGAGTTTGATGTAGATGAGGGGAGACCTTTTGGATTTTGCATAAATTTGGGATGGAATTAGAAGGAGAGATTTGTTCTATCGTCTAAATGACGGTATGCTTTCTCAGTTTAATCGATTATGTGACCGTCCATTTCCCTCCAATTTGGTCTGACGTGGCGCCTTAAATTGCCATCTCATTTTTTTTTTTTTTTTTCTTTTTTTTTTTTTTTGTTTTTTATCCACGTCGCGCAGGGGCTTGGGCCACGTCGGCATTAGACGGGTGAAAATGAGTCACGTGGCAGGCACGTGCAATTTCCGGCCAAAAAACCCCAAAATTGACGCCAGCAGGACTAAAATTGCCCCAAAACTTTTAATTGTAGTACTAAATGTGCCACATACCTATACTGCAGAACTAAAATTGCTCGTCTATAAAAAACTCAGGACCAAAAATGCATTTTAGCCTAATATTAGTATAGGCCAAGTTCATTGACAAACCTAATCTCTAGACAATTATATTCTTTTAAACCAAATATGCATTTTTCATACACAATTGACGAACTTAATTTAAATAATAACATAAATAAATGTATGATATTTTTTAGTGTAAATACATATTTTTGTTTAAGAAGTACCACCGATTAATCGATTAAGCTCATTCATACAATAATTTGTTTTATCTACTTCATGAATGTATATTTGTGACCTCTAATATATGTATTTAGTTGAATGCCATAACTATGGACCTAATTGTATCACTCTTTCTACATAAATTAGGGCAATGTTGCAACCCACAATTTTGTTGCCGCCGTTTATCATTTAGCCATTTTGGTTGTGAACAAATACTTTACTTTAGACCATGATTTGGATGACTTCACCTCGAGAATGGATCGTTAATTTAGGCAAGATGAGTAGAATTTTGTAATAGATCAAACTGAAGAGAATATGCATTACATCAGGATAGGCCTAATTTCAGTTGTTCATGATTGAGGTTCTTCACATAATGAAATTGACTAGAGAAGAACAAATGAATAGTTGGACTATGGTTAGATATGTCTAATTTTAAGACTGGTAATACAATTTTAACAAATGTAAATACTTTTATATTAAAATGTTGTACTTTAGACAACATATAAATAAATAGAAATATAACATGGCATTTTAAAAAGAAATATATGTTTCTTAATCAAAGGAAATGACGGATCGACAGTCTAGTCATTAGACCGGTTAAATTTAGGGTGGTAAATGAAAATTGAACCAAGCCAGATGTAACTATGGACACCCTCCAAATGACATCATTATGGTGTAATTGAATTTGGTGTATTGATACATGACCTAAATATATTTATTTTAGAACACATGGTAATACATCATTCGTAAATAACATGGATAACACTATACCTCGAGTTATCTGTTGATTCCATAGCCAAACTTTATACTAGGATATTAATTAAGTAGGGTCTTTATGAAACCAACTCTTAGAAATAATAAAAGTAAGTTCGCGTATAACAAAAATCTTATGCATTCTATCAGTAATGCTAAGGAGCCAATTGTTGGCTCCGTTACGGAGCCATCAGTCAATGGGACAGCTCTATGTGGATTGTCCCACATGGCTCGAATGTAGGACAGCCCCACATGGCTCGAATGTAGGACAGCCCCACATGGAGTTGTCCCATTGGCTGTTGGCTCCGTAACGGAACCAACAGTTGACTCCTTCGCATTACTGTGCATCCTAGAGGCATGTTTTGTTGGATGTATATGGATATTTTTAATCATTAATGTAATTGGTTGCAATGTATATGAAAAGTGTTGATGTATATTCACTTAGAAGTCGCAACTCACAAGAACCATAAAAAGCATAAATATGATGCTGAGTAATTAAATTGAAGCTACCTTATTATGAAGAAAAGCAATGGAAATTTTGTGAAGGGCTGCAAGGTACTATAATTATTGAAAATTTGAATTAGTTGTTAAAAATTCTATACAAACCAGTGTTTAACTACTGCATTATTTTGGCAAGCCATAAGTGATCATACTATCGATCCAACCATTAATACCTCCATATTAATAAAATTGCAAATATAATTGTATATATGAATTTTAATATTAAATATAATTGCAATTATATTCATTCAATCTCAACTTCTCAATAAAATAAAATAAAAAGACTGTTAATTTTAATGTTTAATTTTTTTTAAAAAATGTCATATACTTTATTTTATTTTTATTTATTTATTTAACGGTCCTTTTTAGTGCATATGTTGCACGTTATTTATAGTACAACCCTGATACAATCGAATATTACTGTAATCCTGGTATGTATTTATGCAAAACCAAAAGTGGATATGTTGCATGTTATTTGTAGTGCAAACCTGATACAATCGAATATTACTATAAACCCGGTAAGTTATATGNAACCAAAAAAAAAAAAATACTTAAAAAAGTAACGAATATTGTTAAAAAAGTCTAACAATGATATCTAGGCCAACTTGCCCTCTATCCAAAAAAAAATAACAAATATTGTTAAGCAACCTAATAATTAGCGATCCATTATTTTCTAAATAAAAATAATACTTAAAGTGCAAGATAACATATTTTAAAATTTAAACTATGATAATAAAATTTGAAACTATATTCAATTTATTAAAAAAGTCTAACAATTAATCTTGCCTAACAGCTGCATTACCAATAAAGATTCATGCCCAACTAAAATTACAGCTCAATATTCCAAAAAATTTTTGTGTGCACAAATGTAAAATTTCCATTCAAGCAAAAGATTCCAAAAGGAGTTCTTAACCACCAAGCCTACACACCAATGATTATCACCCTTAAATGCCAAAGTGGTCCCAAAATTTCATCCTACTTTGTGCCATACGGCCACTGGTACGAATGATAAGAAGATGAACTTGGAATTTTTCCAGAATTCTTGTCACTTTTCATTTTTTTTTTTTTTTTCCCCTCTTCCTCACTTGCTCATCTTCAACACAATTCTTTTATGATAATATTTTTTCCTTTTCTTTACGAGAAAGTTGAAGATATCGTTGTGCCGAATCATGGGAATATATTCTCTTATGAGACGACAAAATTGATTATCTCATCTCATACGTACATGTAAGATCAAGATTGCTTTAGTGTATTTCCATCCAAGGGACTCCCATGGGTTAGGTAGAGAGTCGATTGCAGCCAAGGATGATTTGCCGACGAGACCTCTCTTGCAATGAAAAATGCTTGTCGGCAAATTCTCCTTGGCTACCTTTGGCTTTCTACTGCCCATGCGAGTCTTGAGAGATTCTCCCTAAAAATCTACCAAACACGAAAGATGTTTGATGAAATTCGGGTTAAAACTTCTAACCTGTAATTGAAGCTATAGCGTAAACACAACGCAGGAGGAAAGCACGTCTTAACACAAGAATATCGAGCTGAGGAAGCTCTAGATTTGCACATCAAATCTCTCCAAATGTGACCTGCAAGTTAACATAAATTTAAGATGTATATATCGTTTTCTATGGATAGATAAAATCTTAGAGAAAAAGACTTGCAGTTTCACACGGTAATCAAGCAAATACACACACCAAGTCCTATTCTTGTGCAACTATATGCTTAAAACATCCTCCCAAAATTAGGTTAGCTGCAAGCACAACCAACAACCTACTAACCTAGCTAATTAAGAGTAACCATTTTTTTTTTTATTATTATTATTTCATGATACACATCTTTATTTACTCAAGAGGTCGCTAAAATCCACTATCCTCATAAGCGTAAACTGTGATTATGATGGGATACAGTCCAAAACATGCCCAAGTGTAACCGAAATAAATTTGACAGAACGAATAGCTATCCGGAAAAGCATTTACTACAATGGTGTGCCTCTTGCCGCCCATAAATAGCAAAGTGGTCCAAAGATATCCAACCTTCTGCCGATGACATTGCACCATACACATACTAATGATTGAACATGAAACAGAATTTCAGAATTCTTATCACCTTCTCCTCAGCCTCACTTTTGTCTGTTATGCAATTGAGTTGAAATTCCACATTCTATCAAGATAATTTTTTCAAAAAAAAAAAAAAGGACAATTTTACCGTTATCTGGAATAATGGAAATATTTGCGATTCCAATACGACCATTCAGTGAACTTATATAAATGGGTGTGATCATACAGCAAACACAACTCAACACGGCATGTATTTCCATCCAAGAGACTTACATGAATACGTAGAGAGTGGATCGCAGCCAAGGATGATTTGCCGGTAATCTCTTTCAAAGCCCAAAAATTCAAGGAAATAAGGGCACATCGGCAAATTGTCCTTGGCTATGTTCGGCTCTCTAGTGTTCATGCGAGTCTCATGAGGTTCCTCCATGCGAGTCTCACGAGGTCCCATCCAAGTGACTTCCATGAATATGTAGAATGTCGACTGCAGCCAAGGATGATTTGCCGGTAATCTATTTCAAAGCCAATAAATATCAACAAACATGGCTCATCGGCAAATTGTCTTTGGCTATGTTCGGCTCTCTAGTGTTCATGCCAGTCTCAAGAGGTCAATCACAGTATTATGGAATAATAGGTACTGTGACCACTTCTAAAAATAAGTTTGATGTGAGTATAGCAGCAAGCAAAAATAACTCTAAATTGCAGTCGTCCAAGGGACTTCCATGGATAGGTAGGAATTGGAAGTGCAGCCAAGGATGATTTGCCAGTCATATCTTGCAACAAGTATGGCTCATCAGCAAATTGTCCTTGGCTCCATTTGGCTCTCTACTGTCCATGTGGGTCTTAACGGATCCATCAAATAGGCCTTCCGTAGAGAGGAAAAAATTGGAGATTCATCACCTGAAAATATACATAACCAAATAAGGTTTGCTCTTCATGTTTAAAAACCCTATTCTTGGTCGACTTTTGTTATTTGTCATAATATGCGACAACATAACCAGTAGGTGAGCACGTGCTATAACAATTACAAATACGGTGAGAAGTAAATGAAAAAGGACTACATACCTCAGACAACTCAAATTATCCTAAAATGATTGAGCTCAAACTTATATGAATCACTTTTCAATAGGCATCATTAACCACCAGCAGATTTCCATGGCAACGAATGTACCCTCAGAGGAACACCACACCACCAAATCCATTCACCAGCAGCTCTACATATAACATAATTGCACGAAATAGGAGTATAATGAAAAATTGAAAATTACACAATTACAGAAAAACAATTGAACACCATAAACTGAATTGTGCCAAATCGACAACCATACTACACCCACTTCTGCATAAATAATTAAACATCATTTTAAATGTATAAAACAGTCAGGCGAAAACCTTTACCAACGTATTAACAAGAACCAAAATGTGAAAAAACCATTAATCTTATAAGCATAAGGCAATACAAGATACACATTGGGTTTGGTTATCAATGCTCAAAACAAAGAACTAAATGAGCTACATAACAAGAACTAATTTACCAAATAAGTTAATACCTCAACGGTAGATTTTCCCTTTTTTTTTTTGGTTTTCTTTGAAAAACAATAATAAAAAAACAACCCATTAAACCTTCACTCCTTAGTAATGTATCCCTCCTTCCGGCCCTCAAACCCGGGCCTCATCAGCTTCTTCTCGCGCTTGGCAATCCTCCGCATCTTCTTCTCATTGATCCTCCCCTGGATGTTTTCCTTCCTCTTCCTCTGCCTCTCATCCTTCATCTTCGTCTGGGTCTCGACTCTCTCCTTCCATTTCTCAGCATTCTTCTCCCTCTTCCTCTTCTCCCTCTTCATGCTCTCCTTGATTAACCGCGCATCGTCATGGACCTTTACGCCCATGGCCCGGCTGGCGGCAGCCTTCCACGACTCACGCTCGGCCACAGTCGGATTCTCCTTCTTCGCCTCCTGCTTTTTCTTGACCAATTCAAGTTCCTTGGCCTTCGGCAGTTTCTTCTTCTTTTTCTTTGCACGCTTCCCCTCATCCTCATCTCCTAATCTCACCTTTCCATACTCGATAATCTCCTCACCATCATCGACCTCATCCGAAATATCTCCCTTTTCACCACTTCCACCGTCATTTTCCTCATCCCTTTTCCTCTTCAACCCATCATTTTTCGACACATTCTCCTGAACTTTCCCCTCGCCCCTGTTTCCCCTCAGGAGCTCGATTTTTCGTCGCAGTTTAGCTCGGAGCTCCTCGTAGGTTACAGACTTCGCCTTATCATCCTCGATATCAATCGGACTAGGTCGGGACTCGTCCTCCTCCAGACCGTCGCCATCTACGCCGGCCAGACCTTTGCTGTTCTGTTGCTGCTGGAGGAGGTGGAGGGTGGAGGAGGGCTCGCCGTCGGGGTCAAAGCGGTGGCGGCGGGCGAGCTTGAGGTTCTGTTTCGATTGCTGCTTCAATGAGGCCTTGGCGGCTTTGGATAGGCCCTGGTACCATGGCTTCGAATCGGCATCGTCGCTCGGAAGGTAGAATCTGGCGGGAATCAGTTCAATCAAGTGGTCGAAGAATTCGCTGTACTGGTGGATGGCAGATTTGAGGTCAAAATCGACGGTGGCGGCGGTGGCGGCGGCGGCGGCCGCCGCAGGTGTTTGCTTTTGCTTCTTCTTCTTCATACCTGCTGTGGGTGTGGAGTGAGTGCGGATTAGGGCTTTTAGGGTTTGGGAAGCTGCATTTATAAATCGAAGATCTGAAGGGATTGGAGATAAATATAGCAAAACATTCGAAATTTTAATTATTATTATTTAATTGAAAATTACAACACCCCATCTAATTTTAAGAAAAGAATAGCATTCTTGGTTCATGCATTTCATTTCATTTCATAAGCTCGACTAAGTTGGAATCTCGATTAATCAAATTGAGAATTAGATAGATGTTTTCGTCTATTTAATTTTTCCTAATAATTTTATTTAATAAAAAATCAAGATTTAAAAGAATATCCGAATTCTCTTAATTTTTATTATGTGCAGGATATCCTCATTCTCTTAATTTTTATTATTTGCTTTATTTTTATCTAAATTCTTAACTTTCTTTTACGTGTGCTGAAGTGTTTTAATTGTTCAATTTCATTATTTGCCCAAGTTTTCGAGAATTTTTACTAAGCTCGGTTATTTTACTAATTTTTTTTTTATCTAGCATAAATCACCTCTTTAAGTGAAAATTCGTAAAATGAAAATTTTGCTAGCTCATCAAGGGCATAATGGCCGGCCATGAGCACCATTTCATCAGCCCTTAGCATTTTATACCTCAGCCCCAATCTTAAACTCCTCATCCATCCCTCACGGCAACAGCAGCACACGGCCCAACACCCTAGTCTAGAGCTTAAAGGCCTTAACCGAGCCCTCATCTTTTGCCATTTTCTAAGTCATTGAAGAGAGGTAAAATGGCTGAGAACCTTACCTTATTTTTGGCTGAAAATTAATATGCTTATGAATCAGCTTTTAAATATTAGAACGAGCATGCTTAAAAGTTGAGAGAAAAGTATATAGCTTGAAAAATGCATGAATGTTGTGCCTTTTGCCTTGATTTTTCCCCAGCCTATGTTCGTACGTTTGAGCTAAAACTTTGATTGTTATTTATCTGAACATTAAATGTTGCCTCTTGTCCTTTTATAGGAAGTTTGAGGTATTCCAAAAGCATGCTCAAGGACTTTTTTTGGGGAGGAGATGGGCTCTACAATCCATTTTTGGATTTTAATCTACACTTTCATTTTCAGTCACACCTAAGATATTGTAGCACATCAGCATTAAATGTGGTGTACTTTGTTGAATGAATCTCTACAAACAGCGCTTTAGACTCTTGACACGTGCCCCAATTAATTTTTCACTTTAGGATCACGAAACTAGTGTGTCCCATCGTCATCAGCGGATCTCGTACGGATGATCCGCTGGTATGATTCGCACAAATCGAGCACTCGTCCATTCCTATTCGTTCGAACTGTCCGAGCAATGGTAGCCATTTGTTCCCGCTCTATATTTACGGACCGTTTCCTCCTTTCAATAACTGTTGGGCACGAATTCGAACAAACTACCTCCGATTCGGTACGGATTCCAGCTGTTCGGTTGACACCCCATACAATCAAATAAATGATTATGATTTTGTGTACTTTAAATATTCTGCATCTATCGTTATATGAGAACCTTTCTTCTTTACAAATGATTGGAATTGAGTTGTCATTATAAGATATTTTACGGTTTGAAGTTGTTAAATATAACAATATACTTTGTTTATGTGGGTTTTGTGATTTTAAATTATTGCTAGTTGCCTGTTATTATGGGCCTTGACATGTCTTCATTTGAAAAAAAAATAAAAAATAAAAAATAAAATAGAGTATAAATTTCTTGTACAAATGTAGTTCAAATTCCAGTTCCGCTCATTTAATAAGTCGTATTTGTTTTTCAAAATTTGGGGCGTTACAGATATTCTCAAATTGTAATGGTATACTCTACACATTAACTAGAATATGATATTTCATAAGTATTTTGTTAAATATGTATTGACGAGTCGACCCACATGACAAAAAAAATGAAAATAAAAACATACGAAATTAATGCACAAATTGAACAATTCAAAATAAAAACATAATAACTCAAAATTCATAATTCATATAACCCTTCAAAGATTGTCTTGACAAGGCATTGGAGAAACTCGAAAAAAGTTTCAAACTCAGAAGTGTGGAAGGGTATAACTAATATAGGTCCATTTGGATATTCACTTGTGCAATTAATAAATTTAAGTAAAACAAGACATTAATTTCACCACCTTCTTAAAATTTCAAGTTCATAATTGTGATCCAAAAGGGGAGAAAAACCATATTTTGTTTAATATTTTATTATTTTATAAGTACACCCGTTTGAAGGCATATAATGGTGTCACTCAAAGTGAGTCCAGCCAAGTAATTTATGTCCATCTGATGCCTGTTTAATAAACAAGTTGAGTATACTCATTTTAATAAACAAAAAGAGTGGTCTTCTCGAGCCCAGCTTGTAACAGCTCAATTCGATATAAACTTAAAATCTAAATGAGAAAAAAAGTTGGACTATATTATCTTAGTTAAAACAAAAAAAATGAGCGAAAAAATATGTTGTCAGTAAACAACTTGGCTCGACCTATTTAATAAACATTAAACAAGTTTGAACGAATCGATTTGAACTTTCACAATTCAAAATGAAATTTAATTGCGAACAATCAAATTTATAATCACACTGTCATAGTAAACATTGTCGAACCAATGTTAAAAATTAGCCTCAACCTACCAAATAATTAGGTGTTTTTTTAAAATAATTAGGTTTGTTATCTTGATGTGTTTTTAACATGCTTAAGTAGCAGAAAAGTAATTCATTCACTCGTTAGTGATAAAAGAACTTACTATTTATGGAAAAANTTTTTTTAAAGTTAGTTCCAATAGAAGTCCATGCCCAAAATTAATAGTTTATAATCTATATATATATAATAAGAATAAGGTTAATTTTAGAAGGCCTAATTGCCGGTAAAAGCACGACCTTACAACTTTTTGCCGTTTTGACCAAATTTTTAGAATTTAGCACGAAAAACTTAACCTTGTCCAATGTTTTACAACCCGAACCCAAAATGAAACGGCCGTCTCATTTTTGCCACCGTATCCGTTAGCTTTACCTAAGTGGCCAAACGTGCTGGTGATGGGGTAAAAGCAGTAAAAACCAGTATAAATACACACATTTTTCCCTAATGACCGATAGTTTCCCATTTTCACGACCTTCAGACTTCGAAAATATTTTTTTCTCTCTTTGAAAACATTGTGGTCCCATTGTCGTCGAAGTTCACAATCTTGTCGTCGAAACGCACAAATTGCGGTCCCATTGAAGCGATTATGACCGACAGGTATGCCAATCCTTTATTTTTTTAATTTGTTCTCGAAATTCTGAAATTCAAAGTCGTCGTTCGAATTCGAAATTTGCTAGGAACATTTTGTTTGTTTGTGAATTTTTAATATAGTGTTAATTTTATATTAAGTAGTGATCCATTTGTTAAATATGATTGGGAATTTTGACCTAGGGTTTCGAAAAAATGAAAATCTGTTTGTTAATTTAGGGTTTCTCTTCAAATTAGGGTTTTATTTTAAATTAGGGTTTATCAAGATTAGGGTTTCGAACAATTTCGAATTGGTTACAGTTTATTCATTGTACATTCATTTTGAAATTAGGGTTTCGAACAATTTCAAATTGCTTACAGTTTTTTGTTATTGTAAATTCATATTTAAATTAAGGTTATGAGAGAATTAGGGTTATGTTAGAATTGGGGCTAATTATAAAATTGTTATTGATGTTTTTTCTATGTTTAGTTAGTTAATATTGGAGGTTATTTTGTGAACTGTGGACCTATTGTGGAGTATATATGTGGTAGTTTAAAGAGTATTTATGGGTTAGATGCTGATAGATTTGGCTACTTTTGACCTACAAGAAGAAATTAAGAAGTTGGGAGTTAACAAGTATGAAAAAATTGTGTATAGAATACCTGGTGCTGGTGTTGGAGCTAATAGTTTGAGAGATGTAACTGATGATAAAGGGGTTATGGAGATTATTAGTTGTGGTAAGAATAAGAAAACTATAGTTCAGATTTATGTGGTTGGTGGTGACATTGATGATGATGAAGCAGATGAGAATGCTGAGGCATCATTTCAGACAAAATCTTCTAGCCAGCAAGATATTGATGATAGGGAAGAGGTGAATGGTTTGAGTCAGGATGAGGAATCATTTCACACACAAGCTAGCCAGCAAGATATTGATGATAGAGAAGAGGTGAATGGTTTGAGTCAGGCTGAGGCATCAATTGAGGAAGAACCTGCAGACCAATTTGAAGATATTAATGATATTATTGACAACTTCACTTCTGTTGAACATGGTGAAGGTGATGCAGAAACTAATAGTGCATGTGCTGGGTTGGGGTCACAAGAGTCATATGATGATGAAGATTATTTTCCAACTGGGGTGAGTTCATCAGATGATGACCTGTCCGATGATCATCTTTCTGATGATGATGAATATGTTAAGGCAACAAAGAACTTAAAGGAGTCTAAGAAAGAAGTTCAAGATTGGGATGATGATGCAGGCAATACACATCCAATGGCCACAGCTGAGATGGACTTTAAAGAGGATGAATTGTTACAGAATGCACTAATCTCTGATGAGTCAGATAGTGACAGAGAAATGGATTTGAAAGGGAATTTCGCTAAAAAGAGGACAAGGTTATTGTATGACACCAAGTGTGATCATAATTCACTTGAGTTTCAGCTTGGCATGAGGTTTGAAACCATTGATCAGTGCAAGAGAGCTGTGAGAAGGGTGGCAATTGTTCAAGGTAGAGATATTCAGAATATGAGGTGTAACAAAAGGCAATTGGAAGCTAGATGTCAAGATGGCTGCCCTTGGAGACTTTATGCCAGTGTGATTGAAAGAGAAGGTAGTGTTGCTATAAAACAATTGCATAAAGAGCATGTCTGCCATAGGAATGTGCACACTAGACAACTCACTGCTCAGTGGATTGCTGAAGAGTTTGGTGAAAAATTCAGAAGGAATCCAAACATGACAGTTGCACAATTGGAAGAAACAATTTCTGAAAAGTTTGCAGTTGTACCTACAAAGTGGAAGCTTTATAGAGCAAAGTGGAAAGCACTTGAATTGCTCAGAGGTTCTGTCATAGAACATTACTCCTTTCTGAGAGTTATATGACTGGGTTGATTAGGGTGGATAGAGAGGGCAGGTTTGAGTTCTTACTTGGGGAAAATACCACATTAAGAGGCTTTTATGTGGGTTTTAGTGCTCTAAGAAAGGGATTCATCAATGGCTGCAGACCCATCTTGGATTTGATGGATGTTTTTTGAAAACTTTCTTAGGAGGAGCCTTGTTATGTGCCATTGCCAAATATGGTAACAATCAAATTTATCCAGTGGCTTAGGCTGTGGTTGAGGCTGAAAATGGAGAGTGTTGGAAGTGGTTTCTCTCAATTTTGTTTGCAGAAGTGGGTATAAGGGATGGCTTAGGATATACTTTCATTTCAGACCAACAAAAGTTTAATATTCTGTGCAATTTTGAGTTTTTTTTTTCTTAATTTCAAACATTAGCATGTTCTAAATAATATTTTGTTTGTAGGGTTTGTTGAATGCTCTGAGGGACTTAACCCCAAATGCTGAGCACAAATTGTGCTCGACATGTCTACATGAACTGGAAGAAGCAATTCAAGAGGCAAACTTTGAAAAATTTGTACTGGAGAATTGTTCTAAGCACTCACCTTGGAGACTACAACATTGCTTTGGAGGACTTGAAGGCAGAATGAAAAGAAGCTTATGAAGACTTTATCAACAGAGATCCTTCAAAGTTTTGTAAGGCATTTGTCTCTTCTCTTCCTAGGTGTGATATGATAGAAAATAATGTTAGTGAGACTTTCAATGGGTTTATAGTTAAGGGAAGAGGAAGCCACATCATTGAGATGATTGAATTTGTAAGTACTAATGGATAGACAACATGGGAAATTGATGGAGTTGAGTGGACATCCTGACAGGCTTTGTCCTAGAATAAGATCAAAGGTAGAACAGAATAAATATTTGTCAAGAGTGTGTGTCACAAAGCCTGCAGTTGGTGATGGGTTTCAGGTTGCTTTAGAAGATGATCAGTTTTGGTGGATTTGAGGAATAATACCTGTACTTGTAGACAATAGGATATAACAGGAATACCTTGTGTGCATGCTTGCTTAGCAATACACTTTCAGCATAAAGATCCTGCAGACTTTGTGTCTGTGTATTTCTGTACTGAGAGGTACTTGAGTATGTATAGCATCTCATTGGAGCTCATAAATGGAAAAAAACATAAATGGAAAAAAAAAAAAAAAATGTGGCCAGCTGCAGAAGGTTATCCAATCTTACCCCCTCCTTTCAAGAAGATGCCTGGAAGACCTAAGACAAAAAAAGAAGGGCTCTTGAGGAAGAAGCCAGAAGTGTAGGCAAGTTGAGAAGGTTTGGGCTGATTATGACATGTCAAAGGTGTTTGCAAATGGGGCATAACAAGAAATCATGCACCCTGCCTGAAGTTGAAAAACCTGCTAAGTTTAAATTTCCATTCATTCATAGTACTAAGTTTTTGTTATTTATTTCTTTACATTCTTTAATCATTGTCATTTTCTTTGAACAAAAGCCAAAGGGAAGGCCTAGAAAGCATACCGCACCCCAAACTGTGGTTTAAATTTTTATTCATTCATAGTACTAAGTTTTTGTTATTTATTTCTTTACATTCTTTAATCATGGTAATTTTCTTTGTACAGAACCCAAGGGGAAGGCCCAGACAGCATACTGCACCCCACACTGTGGTTCAACCACACCAAACTGAGGTTCAACCACCCCAAACTGAGACCATGACAAGCCCACCATCTAAGACAATGACAAGCCCACCAGTTGAGAGGCTGACAAGACCACCAGTTCAGAGGATGACAACCCGGTCTGTTGAGAAGATAAATAAATTGTCGGTTAGGAGGTACAGTCAACGGTCATCAATCATACAAAAAGAAAGAGCCTTGGTAGTACTTTTATATGGAAATTTTCTGAAATTGGTACCAATACTAGACAACTCAATTATTTTGTTCATTTGTTTGGCAGGCAAGGAAAGGTTTTGGTATCTTGCAATCTGAGGAAACTGGTAATGTTTACATGAAGGTATGGTTTTTTGTATAAGAATTCACTATTTCTAAAATATAATATAATATATTTATTGACTAACATATGGGGTAATTATTGTATAATATAATGCAGTTGTCATCTGCAAAAAAGATTCATGTGATTTCAAACACTGCTAGAGAAACAGGCCAAAGCAGTGGCACAATCAGAGGGCAAAGCAATGGGTCAACCACTGGTAGAGGAAGAGGGCAGATGAGTGGGTCTACCACTAGGAAGAGGAAGAGGGCAAAGTAGTGGGTCAACTGGGAGAGGTAGGAATGCAGGGGACTTCATATGCACTCAAGAGAGTGAGGCTGGAAATTAAGATGTAGTATTGTTGAACTGATGTGGTACCATTAAACTGATTTTGNCTGCAGGACAAAAAAAAAAATAAAAGAGCGAAACCCTTGATTTATCTCCGTCCGCCTTCCTCAGCGGCCGCCGTGCTTAGCCGGCGGTAGGTGATCCCTTACGGTATGAATCCCCACCTTTTTATTCTGCTCTGCCTCCCGTTTTTCTTCGAATCGAGCTCTAATCGGGGTGCGAATGGTCTTCGCCATTCAGACGCCATTCCGTCATATCCTTTTGGGGGTTTTTCGATTCGTGAGTTGGTGGATCCGTGGTGCCGTTTCGGGGTGGGATTCGGGCCGATTGCTCGACGATTTGGTTGCTGTGCGTCGGTGTGGCTTGGGTGCACTGGGCCATCCCCCTGGCCTCGTTTTCGGGTCGTTGGGCACCGGCGTTTCAACTCTTCCTCCAGTGGTGTTGGTTGGGGTGTTGCAGCGGTGGCGTGATCGTGTTGTGCAGCTGGTCGGCGTTTTGGGGTCGGGACCGGGGTCGTGGCACTCCATTGTCTTTAGGGTGCAATTGGGTGTTGTGGTCGTGGTGCAGGTTGGCCTGCTGTGATTCCGGAGTTGGAGTTTCGAATCCGTTAGGCATCCGAGTGGTTTGGCAGTTTCGGGTTGGTGCTTATAGCTTTGGGATTCGTGGTTGGTTTGTGTCCGCTAGCTCGGTTCGGTGTTGCAGCTTTGGAAGGGCTCGATTTTTTCTGTGTTTTTTGTGTTTAGTTTGTGTCTTTTGTCCTTCTGTTATGCTGTAGTTCTTTAGTTTTGTGTGTTGTTTAGATGTGTTTTTGGTCTGGGTCGTTGGCCTCAGTGAGCTCGAGTGTGCCTTTATTATCCTGTTGGGATCTACACTCGAGCATTACCCTATTGGGGTTGTTATGTGTTGTATTACCCTGTTGGGGGTTTTATGTGTTGTCAGTAGTTTTTTTTGTTTTTTCGTTTATTACCCTGTTGGGGTCGGATCTAGGCGGTCTTCGGACCTGTCCTCCCTCTTTTTTCAGCTGTTGGCTGCTGTGTATTCAGCTGTTGGCTGCTGTGTATTCGCACATTTGTGCTTTTTTATTTATAAAATTNGTGGTACCATTAAACTGATTTTGCTGTTTTTGGGGTGTGTTAGTTTTGTGTAAGGAGACTCAGTAGTTTGAATTGATCTTTTGGATGTGTTTTTGAGTTTTGTGGGATCTGCATGTGTTATGGGATATTTATGTGTGTTATGTGAAAATCACTTAAATGAAGTGTTTTGTTCTTTGAATGTGCAAAAGGTTATGCCTGCCTTTCACACTATTTGTATAGATGCTGAATCTGTGCATGGTGCTCAATTAATGTATAAATCTTAAGAAATGTGTCCATGTTTTTGTAGTTTCTCTGTTACTTTACTGGAGAAAAAAACTTTCTGCAGATTATTGTTTGATGAGACAAACTACACCAAATGCCCCCCTGTGTGTGTATTACTTAAGCTTATAATCCTCATATAGACAACACATCTTAAATGTCCACATTGGGGCCCAAGCACACAAGTTTAATTAACTACTACTGAAAAAGACCACTAACTACTACTTAAATGTCCACATTGGGGCCAAAGCACACAAGTTTAATGATACATTCATGCAAAAGGTTTTCAATTCCATTACATATACCAAACAAACATAATTCACAATTCAACTTCAAAACCTATGAAAAATACATAGGTTCACAAAATCAAAACCATCAGTTCATCTTCAGCTAATGGACATAGCCATTTCTACCAAACACAATCACAACAACAACCATAACAACAACAATCAAACAAATCATCACTACATACATTTTCCTTTCAAGGTTTTTCACTTGAGTTAAGGTCTTCTAAAGAACCAAAAGTACTTCAGCATTCTTGTGACCATCAACCTCAAGCCCTGTCACTTTGTTTTCAAGCTCCTCAAGTGAAGACAAGATTAATTCTTTCACACCCGACCTATCATTGTGCTGTTTTTCCATGGCCCATAACTTTTCTTCTAAAGCCTTTTTTTGAGCCTTCAATTTGATGTAGCATGTATTTAGAACTCAGGCAATGCGGGATCAATCCAATCAAACAAACCACAATATTTTACCTGTTGCATATCAAAATACAATAATAAATTGCAGTAAAATTGCAGAACAAAATACATGGATTGTTGTAAAATTGCAGAACAAAATTGCCGTAAAATTGCAGAACAAAATACAATAATAAATTACCTTTCTATTTGGACACCTGTAGAGCCTCCGACATGGATTGTCGTCAGTGCCAGAGGTGAAAACATCGGCCTCATCCCTACAGCCGCACAGCCTCCTCACGGGGATATTGGATGAAGCGCTATGATTCGAATTAGGGCTTGTACGAGACGCGTACGACATTTTCAGAGGATGAAGCTTCGAAATTAGGGCAACAATTTAGGGAAGAACACGGATCGAAGCTGCGAAATCGTGAAGAACACGATCGAAAATTAGGGTTCAATGGATGTTGATATTTGTACGACTAAATTGGGATGAAGCTACTAGATTTTGGGGAAGAACACGATAGGGTGATGAAGCTGCTGGATTTTGCGAAATCGTGAAGAACACGATCAAAAATTAGGGTTTGATTTTGGGGAAGAACATGCGATCGGGTTTGATTTGGGGGAAAATGCGTGTATTTATACTGGTTTTTACTGGTTTACCACGTCAGCAGCATGTTTGGCCACGTAGGTAAAGTTAACGGACACGGTGGCAAAAATGAGACGGCCGTTTCATTTTGGGTTCGGGTTGCAAACATTGGACAAGGTTAGTTTTTTTGTGCTAAATTCCAAAAGTTTGGTTAAAACGGCAAAAAGTTGTAAGGTCGTACTTTTACCGGCAATTAGGCCATTTTAGAAAGCATTTCCTGCAAAAAAAAAAAAAAAATTAATTACTTACTATAGATGGAAATAATATAATACTATTTAAATAAAAAATAAATCATTAATTGTATAGTTTCCATAAAACTCGGTTTTCAGTTTGTGTTTGTTTTAGTCAATTATTCGTTTCCTTTAATTGCGTTGATATTTGTTATGTAGTCAAATATTATGTAAATAATTATGTAACAGATATTGGAATCCTCATTTATGGAGGATTCTTTTTTTTTAACAAATTTATTAGAATCTTTGATTTGGATCACCATATATGTTATATACAAAAAAATACAATTTCATAGTAATATTTAAATTTATATGAATTTTTAAATTCTCTATGGAGGATTCTTTTTTATTTTGTCATATTTATTAGAATCAACGATTTAGATTGACATTTATATACAAAAAATACAATTTTATAGTAATATTTAAATTGGTTTATTCATTGTAGTAGATTTTGGAAATGAACAATTTGTTGTGAGATATATATACCTTTGTTAGGAGATAAATATAAATCCCGTTTTATGTGAGATATACACAAATTCCCTTTTTATTTTTATTTTTTTACTATTGTTTTTGAAACAAAATTTTTGAACTTTTGTATAGTAAATCAATTTTTTATTTTATGTATAGATAATATAAATCTACTAGGCAAAACCTATATCTACATATATAAATCTGCTTCATAAAAGGTTTTCATACATATAGTAGGGCAGTTGTCCAATTAAAAATTGTTCGACTTAAAAAATTAAAGCGAATTAATGTCTAATTACTATTGTTTTTGTATTTTATAACTATTGTATAAATCTCTCCCATAAAATTAGCGTAATAGAATGTCTAATGTTTGGTAGATTGTAATACATAATATTTTGTAGGCGGTAATACATGTTATTCACGAATATAATTACTAATATTCTTTTAGACTGTGACACATATTATTCACATGTAATATTTTTTATATATTAAAATGTTATATATGTGTGTATGTGTTAAACTTAAGTGTTATTGGACATGTTTTACTTATAAAATAATTTAGAAAAAATGTAGGAGACCTCACTTTTTTAAAGAATATTTTAGATAATATTATACATGTTATATAATATTTTAGGTATTTATAATATTTTAAACATACATGTTTAATGTTCTTTTATACAAGAAAAAAAATATAAAAATACTAATGAATATTATTTAGCTAATCAAGTATAATTGATATGAAAATGATAAACTAACAGCTCATTTGTCGAGCTGCCAGGTAAATTATCATATTATAAATAGATCATTATTGTTGAGTCTACTTCCAGATCTAGAGTAAACCGGTGGATTTGAGCTCAGATCTGCTTGAACCGCCTCCAAATCATCGCTAGACCGCGAGATTCCTGCAAAAACTCAACGCCGGAGGTGTTTCCGGCGTAGAGCCTCCGACGCTCAAGTCAGTATGAGAGTGATGAAGAGAGGCTGCGCAGCAGCTATGGGGGAAAGTGGGAATGAATCAGAGTTAGGGTTTTGGGGTTACCTCATCTCCTTTATATAGGAGGGAATACTTACTTGAAGAGCCCAAAATGCCCCAGTCGGTGGACCTGGAAGGTCCAAAATGCCCTGGTCGATTTGTCTCCCCTTGTTGCTGAGTCATCAACAGATTCCTTCTTATCCTTCATAATTTATGGAACTTCAAGCATATTACAAGTGTGATGAGTCGTCATCACATCTTCGTTATTCAGGGTATGTGAGGTTGACCTCGAGAGCTAGGGAGTCGACTCGTGGATATGTGCGGATTCGGAGGCTACGCTTGACTAATTCTTTGAGGCAAAGTCGTCTTCAGAGAGTCGTCTTAGTTCGGTCGACTGCCAAGAGTCGACTTGGGATATCGAGATGCTCAGGCGCTGTACTCTTGCTGCTCCTCCTTCATTGATGTCGACTAGTGAAAGTCGATAGATTAAAGTCGATTTGCGAGAGTCGACTAGACCCATTTCCGCCTCTTCTTGATCGCTCAGTGGAATCGGCCTTAGGGAAGTCGATTTAAGCATGTCGACGGAGTCATGTCGACATGCGAGTAATTCAAGTGATTCACTGGTCGAGTAAGGAGCTTTCGAACCGAGTTA